TTATTTTGATGTCTGAATCATGTATTAAAGTTGTTTGTGCTCATTCGATCTGATCATACATAATCATGATAAAGCCCCTTTTGGATTTCTCTTTGGTGCTTTGTACTTTCGTCTTTCTGTCTTCATGGTCCAAGAAATGTATGATTCCACTTGAAATATAACCATTAGACAGGTTAATTTGTTGATAGGTTTGCAATTAAAACTTGGGTTTTGCAATTAATAATTGACATTACTTTGCAAAAAACTAAGCAGTTTGTGTGAGAAGTTTGTCGGCCATTTCGAAATTCAAAATGGCCACCATTCTTGATCCATGTGTATATCACCATTCGGCAGCTTGACATTGAAAACACAGGGTTTGGCTACCTATTAATCATGTTGACCTGCTCTAATAGCACAGTTTTGTTTTTTATTACTGTGAAAATGGCAGCCATTTTGGAATTCAAGATGGCTGCCATTTATGATTCGTGAGAATATGACCATTAGACAGGTTGACATTGAAAACCTATGGTTTGCTACCAAAATCAAGTTGATACCAGGGGCGGATTGCTATAAAACGGTCTTAACTGGTAGTCTTAAAACTCCTCGAATAAAGCCGGCTTTATCACTTAGACGGTCTTACTAAAGTCATTCCTCTAAGACCATTGCTATATTAAAACAGTCTTCCCTAAGACCGCATTGAGTATTGAAACGCAAACAAGCACTCCCTGGTAACGTAAGATTGAGGGCGGCGTCATGCGTGCTCGCGCACGCAAATGTATCGAAATGAACGTAAAAACGCTAGACCTATTTTTACCATAGAGCTATTATATCTCTATGATTTTTACAGACGCTGAGAAGTGTGAGGAGTATTCGTCGTTCGATTCTCCGACTTGACAATCTAGGCCTAGGTCTTGCCATTGCACTGTTGAATTAATCAGCAGAACGCCATGATGAAAATGATTTAAGACCGTTTTAAGCCTCCTCCGAGTAGGCTTTAAAATTTAAGACGGCTAACTGGTTAGACCGCGGTATAGCAATGGTCTATAATCATAGACCAGTAGTGACGTCACGATTATAGCCGGCTAACCGTTAAGACCGTCTAAAGACCGCTATAGCAATCCGCCCCTGCTCTAATAGTACAGTTATTGCTATTTTACTTTCAAACTGGCAGCCATTTTGAAATTCAAGATGGCTGCCATTCATGGTTTGTGAGAATATCACCATTGGACAGGTTGAAATTGAGAAAATAGGGTTTGGTACCAAAATCATGTCGATACCTACTCTAATAGCGCAGTTATGGTTACTTTTACTGTATAAATGGCGGCCATTTTGAAATTCCAAAATGGCCGCCAAGACAATCTCGGAAAAAATGGACCTTTGCATTTTTGGATTCAGCATACCCAAAATATCCGGAAAATGCAATAAAATTGCTTTGGGCAAGCCTATCTCGCAAAGCTGTTTTTTTGGACATTAGGTTTCTCACTACTATGATTGAACCGATGTCAGGTTTTAGCTCCGACGTGGAGCTCTAGAAACACTCGGCTGATTGTTTAACAGATCTTTTTTTGTATGGGCGGCCGTTATTAGTATTATACTGCCCTCATCGGAGCTTTCGAGATTACGAAAACTTGCTATCATACATTTAAGCAGCATTTGAGAGTAAGAATATTTACGTTAAAATGCAAACGACAATCAAGCATAACGTGTTAGGATAAACTCATTCTATACATCTAAAAACAGAAACATGTGTACATATACGGCAATAATTTCAACATTTATTCATATCTACATCAAGTTTTACAATGGTAGATGAAACTTTACAACTTCTCTTCTAAACAAGCTAGAGCTTGACATAATTTGTACAATTTATTTAAACAATCGTTCTCATTGGTTAAAAATAAACAGGCAATCCGATAACCTTTACTTGTCCGTCATCATTTATTCTGATTGTAATTACCTCTTTAAAATATATTCTCTGCGATAAAAATACCGTATTTCCAATCTTATTATCTAATGTCAAAAATATATAATATATCAAGTGTATGTTAAAAGTGAAATTGTTTCGCTTCACCCATTTCATTCATCTATCTCATTACTATATGTTCCATATATA